CCCACCACACACACACACACACACACACACACACACACACACACACACACACACACACACTCATCAGTCAAAACAGTAATAAACATCAAAACTAAGAACTATTAGTGTAACAAGTGTTACCAATTGGCTTATACAAAATGATTTTTAAAACTCTGCGCACAAAAATCCACAATAGATGCCAATAAATAATAATTGATGATCAAAGGGTACATTATCAACACAACCGAGACACCCCATCAACAGAAAGCCTCGTCAATGAACGCGCAAAACACAAGACGAGCTACGATTGGTGGGCTCGAGTCACGTGGGCTACTCCGACCTGAGCATGCGCATGAATAGCGGGTCTTCAGCGAGGCTGGAGTCGATAGTGACGGACACAAAGTTTGGGTCCACTCGGTGCAACAGCCGGCCCGGTCCTTGTCCCCTCAGTCGGACGCGCGCCTCGACGGAGCTCGAAATGGCGCACAGCACACACAGCGCCCATAACGGTCGCAAATTGGCTGCCACTTCCGGCATAGTTGCTCACGTCCTGCCCGCCTGTTATCTGTGTGGTCATGTTTTTGCGCGCGTTAGCCTGACTGAGGCTCGTAGCCCCGCCCCTTGCGTCACAGAGCAAACGCGATTCGGCAACTTCCAGTTTTTCATTAACGATTAACAAATAGACAAAATGAATACAGAGAAGCATAAAGAAAGAAAATACTTTTTTTCCAACAAAAATGAATAAAAACACAGAAAAGTAAGAGCTCTTTGAGGGAATATGGTCCAAATGTACTCATCGGTCTACATTTCAAAAGTGACGCCAGCAACATTTATTTATTGATTTTCTTTCATGACTTTACATTGTAGAAAAACACATATGAGTTTTTTTTGTTTTTTTTTCGCGATTGCTTCTTTGGTATCTGGTCCTGGGGAAATGTCAAGGAACACAAGGAGTGGTCATAGGAGATAAAGATTAAAGATTAAAAGATTCTCATTTGCGCACACATACACACATTAGTTTTTTTAACTGACATTTATTTTGTCATTGACATGGTTCATAAGTGTACTTGTGTTTAAAAAAAGTGAAATATAAAAATAGGACTTGTGGGTGTGCTGTTTTCTTCCAATCATAGGAAAATCTTGGTGCATTAGTGGCTACGCTAAGCTGACACGAGGACGTACTGGCTACGCTAAGCTGACTTGAAGACGTAAACATAGATGGTTGTCTTGCAACATGTAGTTCAGTCAGGCAGGTCAGGCGGCGCGGCGAGCAGATGATCCACTTCCTGTTGCAGCGCGGCCGCCTTCTCAATGAGCAACATCTGAAACGCAAACGCTGGTTACGCACGTCGTCCTCAGATGAAGGCCGAAGCACGTGCCCTGGCCACACCCACTTTGGCTGAGGCCACAATGAGGGTGGCTTGTTTCCTGCTGAGGCGCTCCACCGTCCTGACCAGCAGGGTGGCGTCGGCGTTGGCCAAGTGCGACAGTGTCGTGTATCCGGCGGCATGAAGCTGATTGGCGGGCGCCCACTCGCACCC